CTGAATTTTCGTCGTTTTGACCGACACCTTTTCCGCTTGGGTAAATTTAGCTTATCACCATCACCAGCACTATCATCATTGTCGTTATCAAAATTTTCATCAGATTTAGCTATCAATCAAAATTAAAACCGGCGACATTTAAATCACAGTAGGACAGTAATTAACAAGATCAAACATGTAAGACAAATAAAAAGATTCGAAGAAATCTAATGGTGATTTATATTTACTCAAGATAATTAATTTCCCCGAATTCACAGAAGAAGAATAAAATCAGCTAAATTACTACCATCAGGAAAACAAACTGAAAAGCACCTATCAATACCTAAACAACACGAAAAAAACAATTCGGTTACATTGAATACTCATGAAAAAGAAACGCGTGCAGGTTATTAGATGTTTGACAGAAACACACACGATTCATCCAAAGAAAAAAACCGAACAGCACTTCCTTCAGAGTTACAGATGAGACGTGATGACCAGTGCAAACAAGCACGAAACTAATATAGGCAGATTCCCGCCGACTGACCCAGAAAATGCAGTACCAAGCATTACAATGTTAACATATATGACATGCAATCTGAATGTCACTCTGCATCATTTGTCGCTTGAAAACGGTGAGTGAAACATCAGACTTGGTAGAGAAGGTGTAAATCGGTGTGTGTGTGTCTGTTCGTGTATCCTGATTTACAAGAGTGTAAGTGGTTTTACTGCGGTTTGTGTGTATGACTTACGTTCTGAAGAGTCGGGAGCTGGCGTGTGTCCACTGCGTCCACCCGATCGCTTGGACGGATGTCTTCGTCGTCGTCGTCTTCTTCGCTTGCCTGACTTGTCGATGTAATAGGCGTCTTGGTCATCGTCCTGTGGTGTGGAGTCGGGAAGCGATCCAGATTCTGGTGTTGGCTCAGCTTCTGTAAACAGGAAGTAATGACTTCGATTAGCATGAGAATGTGTTCAAGAGTGTTGGTTGACGCTGACTGTGTGAGTGTTGTGCAAACAGAATTTCCACTGTTACAAAGAGGATGGGGTACTCGCCTTATTTGCGTGTTTGTGCTTTTGCACTCCGCTTGCAGTGGAGATGGATGTCAGGGAAGGCGGCTTCCGTGTGACCTGTGTCAACTAGTAGTTGCTTCTTTTAAGTGTAGTGTCGATGGAGTATCGCTTGGTTTCATCCACAATCATGATATCTGGCTTGATTGTAGTGTTAGTGTGAAGGGACTGGAAATACTTACCATGTAGTGTCGTGAGTGAGCAGACCGTGTGGAAGGCAAAGGTGATTATGACCGTGATTGTCGCTATCTTGCCATTGTGATTGTGCTTGTTAAGACGAATGCAGCTGTGGCAGTGAAGGTGATGAAATTGAGAATTAGAGGTTAGGCGAGTGTGTTGCTTGATTCTTCGACTCAAGGGAGAGAGAGACTAACAAGAAGCTCAGATGGTGTGAACATGTGCATATGTGGAGTTGTGTGATGAATGTGTAACTGATTCAGTGTATCTGTGTAATGAGAAGCGACCTGTGATTGGGAAGTTTGTCTCAAGAATACCTCCTCAAATTTATCGGTTGAAAACAGTGAGTGAAACATCAGACTTGGTAGTGAAGGTGTGAATCTGTGTGTGTGTCTGTTCGTGTATCCTGATTTACAAGAGTGTAAGTGGTTTTACTGCGTTTTGTGTGTATGACTTACGTTCAGAAGAGTCGAGAGCTGGCGTGTGTCCACTGCGTCCGCCCGATCGCCTGGACGGATGTCTTCGTCGTCGTCGTCTTCTTCGCTTGCCTGACTTGTCGATGTAATAGGCGTCTTGGTCATCGTCCTGTGGTGCAGAGTCGGGAAGCGATCCAGATTCTGGTGTTGGCTCAGCTTCTGTAAACATGAAATAATGACATCGATTAGCATGAGAATGTGTTCAAGAGTGTTGGTTGACACCGACTGTGTGAGTGTTGTGCACACAGCATCTTCACTGGTGCAGAGAGGATGGGATACTCGCCTAATTTGTGTGTTTGTGCACTTGCACTCCGCTTGCAGTGGAGACGGATGTCAGGGAGGCCGGCTTCCGTGTGACCTATGTCAACTCGTAGTTGCTTCTTTTAAGTCTAATGTCGATGGAGTATCGCTTGGTTTCATCCACAATGATGATATCTAGCTTGATTGTAGTGTTAGTGTGAAGGGACTGGAAATACTTACCATGTAGTGTTGTGAATGAAAAGAGCGTGTGGAAGGCAAAGGTGATTATGACCGTGATTGTCGCTATCTTGCCATTGTGATTGTGCTTGTTAAAACGAATGCAGTTGTGGCAGTGAACATGATGAAATTGAGAATTAGAGGTTAGGCGAGTGTAATTCCATATTAGTTTGTTTATTAGGTATATCAAACAGTGAAGGAACCTCGGAAGCCTTACGCAGAATTCTCAACAATGCAGGAATAAAAACGGCATTCAAACCCACAAACTCAATTAGAAACAAGCTTTGTCAGCTATAGGATCCTGTAGAGCCTTTAAAACAAAACAATTTAGTTTATCTAATACCCTGCAATGATTGTCAGGTCAAATACATATGTCAAACTAGTAGAACAGGGGCAGTCAGACTAGCTGAACATAAAAACTTAGCAAAATCTAGATTGGTTGACCCGAATAAGATAATAAATCTAGAGAATAGTTCAGCTATAGCACTACATGCAGTCACACACAACCATACAATAGGATGGGATGAGATGACAGTTTTAAAATCTAATGTCACAGGGTATAGGGAGAGATTGATAACAGAAGCTTTGTTTATCGAATCAACTACAAATACATGTAATAGGAATGATTCATCACCTGTCCCCGATATCTGGAAAATTCTACTCCCCCTACGACAAATTGGAGAAAACAAAGAAAGCTATAAAACTCAAGTGTCAAAGTCGTGTGATCACAATTGGTATGATTATGAACAATAAATTTTGTTCGAAACGTCATCCAGCAAATAATAATGTTTCACTGTGTGATTAACCCAATAAACAAACTAATATGGAATTACTTACTACCACAGTGCGCAAGTTTAACACATATGTTACGCGAGTGTGTTGCTTGATTCTTCAACTCAAGAGAGAGAGAGACGAACAAGAAGCTCAGATGGTGTGAGCATGTGCATATGTGGAGATGTGTGATGAATGTGTAACTGATTCAGTGTATCTGTGTAATGAGAAGTGACCTGTGATTGGGAAGTTTGTCTCGAGTATGCCTCCTCAAGTTTCCGTCTGTATGAGTGATTCTGTGTGTGTGCATTTGACTGTGCGTGAGTATTGGAGTCGTGGATGAATGCATTTCATCCGACCAGTGATTTCAATAGTTTGGTGGATGCAGGTAATTGGACATTCGAGTGGAACACACACGATTCATCCGACCAATCAGACTTAGGTTGACACGCATGACATGCGATCTGTGTGTCACTCTGCATCATTTATCGGTTGAAAACGATGAGTGAAAAATCGGACTTGGCAGAGAAGGTGTGAATCGGTGTGTGTGTGTGTTCATGTATCCTGATTTACAAGAGTGTAAGTGGTTTTACTGCGTTTTGTGTGTATGACTTACGTTCAGAAGAGTCGAGAGCTGGCGTGTGTCCACTGCGTCCGCCCGATCGCCTGGACGGATGTCTTCGTCGTCGTCGTCTTCTTCGCTTGCCTGACTTGTCGATGTAATAGGCGTCTTGGTCATCGTCCTGTGGTGCAGAGTCGGGAAGCGATCCAGATTCTGGTGTTGGCTCAGCTTCTGTAAACATGAAATAATGACATCGATTAGCATGAGAATGTGTTCAAGAGTGTTGGTTGACACCGACTGTGTGAGTGTTGTGCACACAGCATCTTCACTGGTGCAGAGAGGATGGGATACTCGCCTAATTTGTGTGTTTGTGCACTTGCACTCCGCTTGCAGTGGAGACGGATGTCAGGGAGGCCGGCTTCCGTGTGACCTATGTCAACTCGTAGTTGCTTCTTTTAAGTCTAATGTCGATGGAGTATCGCTTGGTTTCATCCACAATGATGATATCTAGCTTGATTGTAGTGTTAGTGTGAAGGGACTGGAAATACTTACCATGTAGTGTTGTGAATGAAAAGAGCGTGTGGAAGGCAAAGGTGATTATGACCGTGATTGTCGCTATCTTGCCATTGTGGTTGTGCTTGTTAAAACGAATGCAGTTGTGGCAGTGAACATGATGAAATTGAGAATTAGAGGTTAGGCGAGTGTAATTCCATATTAGTTTGTTTATTAGGTATATCAAACAGTGAAGGAACCTCGGAAGCCTTACGCAGAATTCTCAACAATGCAGGAATAAAAACGGCATTCAAACCCACAAACTCAATTAGAAACAAGCTTTGTCAGCTATAGGATCCTGTAGAGCCTTTAAAACAAAACAATTTAGTTTATCTAATACCCTGCAATGATTGTCAGGTCAAATACATATGTCAAACTAGTAGAACAGGGGCAGTCAGACTAGCTGAACATAAAAACTTAGCAAAATCTAGATTGGTTGACCCGAATAAGATAATAAATCTAGAGAATAGTTCAGCTATAGCACTACATGCAGTCACACACAACCATACAATAGGATGGGATGAGATGACAGTTTTAAAATCTAATGTCACAGGGTATAGGGAGAGATTGATAACAGAAGCTTTGTTTATCGAATCAACTACAAATACATGTAATAGGAATGATTCATCACCTGTCCCCGATATCTGGAAAATTCTACTCCCCCTACGACAAATTGGAGAAAACAAAGAAAGCTATAAAACTCAAGTGTCAAAGTCGTGTGATCACAATTGGTATGATTATGAACAATAAATTTTGTTCGAAACGTCATCCAGCAAATAATAATGTTTCACTGTGTGATTAACCCAATAAACAAACTAATATGGAATTACTTACTACCACAGTGCGCAAGTTTAACACATATGTTACGCGAGTGTGTTGCTTGATTCTTCAACTCAAGAGAGAGAGAGACGAACAAGAAGCTCAGATGGTGTGAGCATGTGCATATGTGGAGATGTGTGATGAATGTGTAACTGATTCAGTGTATCTGTGTAATGAGAAGTGACCTGTGATTGGGAAGTTTGTCTCGAGTATGCCTCCTCAAGTTTCCGTCTGTATGAGTGATTCTGTGTGTGTGCATTTGACTGTGCGTGAGTATTGGAGTCGTGGATGAATGCATTTCATCCGACCAGTGATTTCAATAGTTTGGTGGATGCAGGTAATTGGACATTCGAGTGGAACACACACGATTCATCCGACCAATCAGACTTAGGTTGACACGCATGACATGCGATCTGTGTGTCACTCTGCATCATTTATCGGTTGAAAACGGTGAGTGAAACATCAGGCTTGGTAGTGAAGGTGTGAATCGGTGTGTGTGTGTGTGTTCATGTATCCTGATTAACTAGAGTGTAAGTGGTTTTACTGCGTTTTGTGTGTATGACTTACGTTCAGAAGAGTCGGGAGCTGGCGTGTGTCCACTACGCCCGCCCGATCGCCTGGACGGATGTCTTCGTCGTCGTCGTCTTCTTCGCTTGCCTGACTTGTCGATGTAATAGGCGTCTTGGTCATCGTCCTGTGGTGCAGAGTCGGGAAGCGATCCAGATTCTGGTGTTGGCTCAGCTTCTGTAAACAGAATATAATGACTTCAATATAATGACTACTCACACACACACGCACACAGTCACAGACACACACAAACACACCATCATGCACAAGACAATTCTTCGCCAACACCACAAATATCTGGCCACAATAATCGTCAGCACAGCCATCATTCAGGTGAGTAATCCTCGAGAAAACACAGAAACACGCTGATCCATGCACACATCACACCGACAAGACAAGCAAATCGACATGAGGAGAATGAAGGAGACTGACGCCGAGCGGTGTGAGTGACCAGCGAATTGTGACAGTGTGAATGGAATCAGGCGAATCAGACTTACCGATTGGTTTGTGTCCGCCTGTTCGCGGCCCCCTTGGTCGTCGATGTTTACCCACCACCTTTCCGTCCTTGTCTGTCACGTCCACGTCTCCTTCGTCTTCCGGTGTCGTCAATCCACCTGCTAGAGACAAGCAGCAGGAGAAGACAGTGTCAGTCACTCAGTCTGTCACTCAGTTAGTCAGTCAATGTGTCCCATGATTCACGGACAATACACACACCCATCAACAAATACAACATGCATCAATCACTTCGCTCACAATCTCAAGACAAGCCATCTATCTCATGATACTCGTGTCAACCCACTTCCATTCACCTCCTTTCTATTCGCCCATGCACACATCTCTACAACCACTTCGAATACAACGCGAATACTCTCAATCACCAGACACCATCATCGCCAATTCAAAAACACAGGCTGCACTACTCACACAAACACGCACACAGACACAGACACACACAAACACACCATCATGCACAAGACAATTCTTCGCCAACACCACAAATATCTGGCCACAACAATCGTCAGCACAGCCATCATTCAGGTGAGTAATCCTCCAGAAAACACAGAAACACGCTGATCCATACACACATCACACCGACAAGACAAGCAAATCGACATGAGGAGAATGAAGGAGACTGACGCCGAGCGGTGTGAGTGATCAGCGAATTGTGACAGTGTGAATGGAATCAGGCGAATCAGACTTACCGATTGGTTTGTGTCCGCCTGTTCGCGGCCCCCTTGGTCGTCGATGTTTACCCACCACCTTTCCGTCCTTGTCTGTCACGTCCACGTCTCCTTCGTCTTCCGGTGTCGTCAATCCACCTGCAAGAGACAAGCAGCAGGAGAAGACAGTGTCAGTCACTCAGTCTGTCACTCAGTTAGTCAGTCAATGTGTCCCATGATTCACGGACAATACACACACCCATCAACAAATACAACATGCATCAATCACTTCGCTCACAATCTCAAGACAAGCCATCTATCTCATGATACTCGTGTCAACCCACTTCCATTCACCTCCTTTCTATTCGCCCATGCACACCTCTCTACAACCACTTCGAATACAACGCGAATACTCTCAATCACCAGACACCATCATCGCCAATTCAAAAACACAGGCTGCACTACTCACACAAACACGCACACAGACACAGACACACACAAACACACCATCATGCACAAGACAATTCTT